TGCCACGCCTTTCCGACGCCAGTGACCCCCCCCCCCCCCCGCTAAGACAGAAGATTCAATTTTCCTTGCTGGCCACAAAAAGATAGCTCTCTCTGCTCCAGCAGAGGTGGATGCTCCTCTTGGTAGGGCTGCCGAACTCCTTGTGGAAACACAAGAGGAGAAAGGAGAGGAGAGAGAGTGGGAAAAGATGCAGATGGACAATATCATTAAGACTCTGCAAGGAGCCCTCCTTTCATCCCTAAAACATTTGGAAGTGTTAAAAGTATAATCCCAAATATAATAAGGCAATACTGACAGGAACACATGATCCACCCAGAGTGTATGCAGTAAATAAAACAAATGTTGCCATGTCTAAGACCCCTGATTTAAGCTTGTTCCCTGTTCGCACCTATCAGAACACGACAGACCCTACAGCAAATCCCGTGTATGTTTCCATTCCTTGGACTAATTCAGAAATATACAATCTGCCAATCTATGCCTAATCCTATTGAAAAACAGTGATAAATTCATTCGAAAAGTAAAGGACCTCATTATTCTTTGGAACCTCTGCCAGCCAGTTTGGAAAAGTTAATAAAAAATATGTGTTGAGATCAGTGATTTTACTCAAATTTTAACGCATGCAAAGGGAAACAGAGGAAAATCAGGGTACCATGACTTGGCCCCAAACCCCCTGAACCAGTTAATAAAGGCGTGTTGAGGGATGCAACCAGACTACAGGACACGATGACAAGAGCACTTGTGAGTCAATTGGGGAAAGATTCATGAAGGTCAACAAGAAGAAGAGGAAAGCCCAAGGGATTATCATGAGCCCCTGTGTGCTTTAATGTGTCAATATTCTAAAATGGACCCTGATGATAATGATCAAGAACCCCAAATGGTCACCCTCCTTCGTGAGGGTCTTCCCCTGAACTGACTAGATTTTTTTTAAAAAACTGACTCTGAATGCCCCCCCCAAAAAAATTTTTTTTACAAGCAGCTACAGTGGATGACCAATGTAAGACAAAACGGAAGAAAGCAAATCTCTCCACTGAGCTCAGTTTTACAAATTGCGGAATACACAACTGGTGTATGTCTGTCTTAGTGGATGTCATGGCTGGGGGGGGGGGAGGTACGAACCCCTTCTCCCCCATAAAGGTAAAGGTTCCCTTGCTCGAAAGCCAGTCGAATCCGGTTGCGGTGCTCATCTCCGTTTCAAAGCCGAAGAGCCAGCGCTGTCCGAAGACGTTTCCGTGGTCATGTGGCCGGCATGACTCAACACCAAGGCGCACGGAACGCTGTTACCTTCCCACCAAAGTGGTCCCTATTTATCTACTTGCAATTTCTTGCTTTCAAACTGCTAGGTTGGCAGGAGCTGGAACTAGAGACGGGATGGGAGCTCACTCCGTCTTGCGGAGTCTTGCCCATAGGGGCATCCTAAAACAATGATGCCCACAGCTGCTGTGGGAAGACAAGATTTTGGTCTTGGGAAGCTGGACCCAGCTCTTTAGTTTGGCCCTCAGATAAGGGGATGCAAAGATTGTTCTAACATTATATCAATATAACAATATTATTAAGAATTTTTTTTGAAAAGCCTGGTGTCCGGGGGTGGGGTGGGGAGGGAATGGCTGCTGCTGAGGGACAGTCTGTCCCTGAGTGGAAAACACCCATATCCTTTTCTTGTGGAAACACAGTGCAGTGCTATGAGGCCTCCTTTCATCGCGTCCTCTCTTTCTCTGCCAGACTTTAAGGAAAGGGTCTAGGAGAGCTTCTAGGGATGCCAGCCTCCAGGTAGGACCTGGGGACCCCCCAGAATTACCACTCATCTCCCGTGGTGCCTTAAAGACCGAAGAAGCGAAAGCTCCTACCCTGCCACATATTTTGTTAAGTCTTTAAGGTGCTACTAGACTCTTGCTCTTTTCTACTGCTACAGACAGACTAACACGGCTGCCCATCTTGATTGCTTATCTCCAGACGACAGAGATCAGCTCCCCTGGAGCAAATGGATGCTTTGGAGGGTGGACCCTGTGGCACTCTACCATGCTGAGGTCCCTGTCCTCTCCAGGCTCCATCCCCAAATCTCCAGGAGTTTCCCAGTCCATGTATATCCCCATCTCCCATAAAAATTTTTTTAATAAACATCCATCTTAACTGATTTATTTGCTGCAGCAGAAACCAGTTCAAAAAGGAACCAATGCCTACCGCACACACCCCTGAATCCCCAGTTTACCAGTTGTCCTTGTGGGAGAAAGGAGTACAGTGGAAACCAAGACTCACCTGGCATAGCCGAGCGCCACGGCTATTTCTGCGGCCCGGGCCCCTCTTTTGCCCATCTGGCAGTGGAACACCAAGTTTTCATCATCTAGCCGCGGCTTGTTCACCCCATACTTCATTTTAAATGTTTCCGGGTCCATTTTAAAAGCCTCTTCTACCTCCGCCACTGCAAGAAAGAAGAAGAAGAAGAGATTGGATTTATACCCCGCCCTTCACTTGGAGTCTCAGAGCGGCTTACAAACTCCTTTCCCTTCCCCTCCCCACAACAGACACCCTGTGAGGTGGGTGGGGCTGAGAGAACTCTGACACAAACTGCTCTTTTTCAAGGACAGCTGTGCCAGAGCTTGTGACTGACCCAAGGTCACATCAGCAGGTGCAAGTGGAGAAGTGGGGAATCAAACCCGGATCTCCCAGATTAGAGTCCGCGAACTTACATTTTAAATGTTTCCGGGTCCATTTTAAAAGCCTCTTCTACCTCCGCCACTGCAAGAAAGAGTCGGGATTGAAAAACATCAGGCCTCCCAAACTGAGCCACCACGTATTTCATTTGTTCCATTAAAAGCCTGCCGCTGCTTGTAAAAATAAGGGCAGTTAAACCTTTTTATGTTTACAGCAAGAGGCAGAGGACTGAGCAAGAGAAGGCTGTGCAAAACCAAGGCTGGTGCCAGGGGTGGCACTGGTGGGCAGGCGCTGCAGACCACAGACTTGGGAGGGCCCACTGGTGCAGCGGTCGCGACCTGCCCTCCTGCCTTCCCTCAGGGTGGCAGCAGTCATGGCATTGGAAGGAGAGGGCAGCATCTCACCAAAGATCCTAAAACCTGCCCAGGTCAAAATGGAGTTTTTCCTGCTTCAAGGTCGCAAACTGAAGAAGTACCAGGAAATGAGTTTGACATGGAGGGCTCATTCAAGTGAATGGAACAGGCATTTTTCACTTATATATTAGCCTTGGAAGTGGTGGGTGGGTTCCCAAAATGGTAAGGGGCCTGGTTTTTCAGGTACAGCTCAGTCCTGCGCCTCGCAGAAATGTCTCTCCCGCTGGCAATTCTATGCAACTTTGCATCAAGCATCCTGCACACACAGACCCTGTAGCATGCTGTTCTCACCTGGAATATTAACAGCATTCGCAATTTTCCCATTGGCTACCTCTTCTGGCGAACGGACGTCAAAAATCTGGGCCTCCCCTTCGGCCACCAGCTTCTTTACATCCTCATAGGAAATCACTTTTGCTTGAAGAAAGGGAGAAAAAAAACCAAAATATCCTTTTGCATTTTTCCCCAGGGTCTTCTCAACATACCCAGTTATCCTGAGAGTTAAAAACCCTGAACTTGTTCCAGTTTCTGATTTATTTACATATGTAAAGGATGGGATACACATAGTACATCTGGAGGACATAAAGCCAATGAAACAACCATGACAATTTGTGAATAGTAAAATTTATACCTACAGATATACATCTTCTCCCACCCCTTTTTTTTCTTCTTACAAGCTCTTTTTCACTGCTTTCAAACAACAGGTAGCCCACTGAATTTTTGTTGGGAAACTTGTCACATCACAATGGCCCACTGCCAGGAGAAAGCTTCACCTATTAAATTCCTGAGGTTCAAATGTACGGACTGGGGCTAACGCTGTCCACTGCATGAGACAGTGATATGACTTTAAAATGTTCTGCCAGGCCTGTGGTTGAGGCCAGCAATGGTTTTCTCCATCTAACCTGGCTCCGTCCTTCCTCTTTCTGTTATGGGGAAAGGACACTAGTTTGTCTATTTATGCACCATCTTCAAAAGGTCAGTTCCCTTCTTAAATTGTTAAGCTATTTTGATTTCTGTACATTTAAAAAATTCTAATCTGATCGCTAATGCTGTTTTTGAAATGTTGTTCCACACCCTGAGCCTTATGGGGGGGGGGGCTCTAAGTCTAATGAAATAAATAAAAGGTAAAGTTAGGTAATGGGATCCTTTGTAAGACAAGAGATCCCAGAGTTAACACTGCCCTGGAAATGCCTTTGATTTCCAAGCCCTGCTATCTAGATCCAAGAAGGCGGCCACTTTTTTACCCCCAGCCATGCTCTTGTGTCTTTTAACAGCAGCTGTGTTAATTAATGTGTTGCATGATCCTAGGGATCCATTCTGTTGGCAGAGTAATTAACACAGCAAAGGTGTACAACCTGATGAAAGCGTAGATAGAGCTTTATTCAGGAACTAACATACTTGATAGTGAAGAGTAGAAACGGAGACAGGTGCCTGCCTAGCTATATCACTAGCTGAGAGAGGGGGGGGAGAGACTAAGTGTCAAATATCCAAGAAGAAGCAGGACATTGCCCTAAGAGTAACAATCTGGAGACAGACAAGGAATGGCACTTAAAAGGAGAGATAGGATAACACTAACAGGATAGGATAACATTATCCTATCTGATGGTCTCCTTGCTGCCCTTTGCAGGGTCTTCTTCTTTGTACACCAGAAAAATATGCCTCTTCCACCAGCTCAGAGCTTGGGAGCTAAGCAAGGTCAACTGTGGCTAGCACTTAAAGGGAGAGACCACCAAGGAAGACTGGTGTCACCACACACAAGAGGCAATAGCAAACCTCCTCTGCTCACCTCTTGAACACATGAATACATTAAGCCCCTTATACTGAATCAGACCCTTGGTCCATCAAGGTCAGTGTTGCCTACTCAGACTGGCAGCAGCTATCCAAGGTCTCAGGCCAAGGTCTTTCGCATCACCTACTACCAGATCCTTTTCACTTGAATTTCTGGGGACTGAACCTGAGACCTTCTGCATGCCAAACAGATGCTTTAACACTGAGCCATGGCCGCTCTTGCCTGGAATGCCCCGTGGATGGGATCGCCATGATTCAGTTGTGACTCACCAGTACATACTTCTCTGCCAGAGGAGTGTTGGCAGAGTAATTAACACGGCAACGGTACCCAACCTGATTGAAGTGTAGATAAACATTTATTTAGGAACTAACATACTTGATAGGAAAGAGGAGAGACAGAGATAGGTTTCTAGCTACATCTGTAACTGAGAGAGAGCCACTAAGTGTGGAGTTTCCAAGAAGAAAGAGGAAATCGCCCTAAGATTAGCAGTCTGGAGACAGACAAGGAATGGCACTTAAAAGGAGAAGGTAACCTCACTATCCTAATTGTCTTCTTGCTGCCCCCTGCAGGGTCATCTTCTTTTCTTCTTTGTACACCAGATACTGCCTTTTCCAACAAGAAGGGCTCCTTGACCCAAAGGAAGGCTCTGCTGCCACCAAAAGAGATCCACAGGAACCAACTAGGGATGTTAACAGACCTGGAGAAAAATGTCCCGCCTCTTGAACAGAGGCATAATGTGCAGAAGTAGGGAGTTGAAGCTTTCCACAACACCTCTGCTGAAGGAATAGGATAATTTCCTTCCAGCCTAACTGGCAGCTCCACAACCCACCCACATTCGCTGAAGCTTTTGGTGGGGAAACTCTTCAGCTGCTAATTGTTTGTATATCAAGTGGCTACTTTTAAAAGTACAGGATCAGGGCCTAGGGAAAAAGTCGACACCCTTGGACAGGAGACCACCCCAAATCAAAATCATCCTACATTACTGCCTTGGAAGAGTAGGATCCATTTTACAAACACTGGGACAAAAACTTCAGAAGGTCTTTGTTAGTTCTTCCGTATTTTCTCTACACTCCTCACCTTTAATTAGGACGTCTAAAACACACCGGTGTCTACCCAACAGCCTTCTGGCTCCTGCTGCTTCCCAGGACCTTGGCCATTCTCAGCCCTTTGCAAGCCAATAACCCTCTCGAGCTCAAGGTCGTCCATTTCCTTACTCCCTTTGCTCACGGTAAGCCGAAAGTCAGCAGGGCAAAGCTTTTCACAATACCTTCTCTCCAGGCCTGGAGGAAAGCGATGGCGAACCTAAACAGCATGATAAAAAGTAGAGACATCACCCTGCCAACAAAAGTCCGCATGGTCAAAGCAATGGTATTCCCAGTAGTCATGTATGGCTGCGAGAGTTGGACCATAAGGAAGGCCGAGCGCCAAAGAACAGATTCTTTTGAATTATGGTGCTGGAGAAGACTCTTGAGAGTCCCTTGGACTGCAAGGAGATCAAATCAGTCAATTCTAAAAGAAATCAACCCTGACTGTTCCCTGGAAGGCCAGATAATGAACCTGAAGCTCAAATACTTTGGCCACCAAATGAGAAGGGAGCACTCCCTGGAGAAGACCCTGATGCTGGGAAAGATTGAAGGTCAAAGAAGACTGGGACGGCAAAGGATGAGATGGTTAGACAGTGTCATCGATGCAACGAACATGAAATTGAGCAAACTTCAGAGGACGGCGGAAGACGGGAGGGCCTGGCGTGATCTGGTCCATGGAGTCGCAAAGAATCGGACTCGACTGTGTGACTGAACAACAAAAGGCCTGGAAAATCGTCACCCTGCTTTGTTTCTCCATGACAGTCTGTTGTTAAAGACACAGGGACAAGATGGGTTCGGTCCCCCACCCCATCTGCTTGGCACCCAGAAGGTCCCAGGTTCAATCCCCGGCATCTCCAGTTAAAGAGCCTGGCAGTTGGTGCTGTGAAAGGCCTCTGCGTGAGACCCTGGAAGAGCTGCTGCCAGTCTGAGTAGACAGTGCTGACCTTGAGGAATTGATGGTCTGACTCAAAAAAGCAGCTCCATGTGTTCAACTGCACAAGGCATGCACACAAATGCAGCCTTCTCTCTCTTCTCAAAGGGAAGAGAGACTGATAAATGGACTACAATGCAAAGAGACTTGGTAGCTCTACAAGCTGCAGAGTAAAAAAATTAAAGACAGAAAGGGGGGGGGGGCTAACCCAAAAAGAATTGAATTACGAAACAAAAAGTTAAAGAAGTCAGAATGTGAGGGCCCAATACTTCTATATCTAAAATTAAAGCATAAATATTACCAAACATACAAAAAATATATGTTTTATTAGACATTAGATAAAAACAAACATAAGCCCAAACAGTAGCCTCAAATCGGAATAAAATCATACAATTATCTCAAATACAGACCATTTGTGACACCCTGACCAAAGGCATTTTGGCCAATTAACTCTCTTCAGTGGTCAAACAATGTTGTTACACGACTCCAGACATCACAGTAGTAATGCAGTTCTTTTATAAACTTGGAGCAAATCGAAATTGTTGTATAATCAATATCTGTGACCTAAGGCAGAGATATGTCAGAGGCCCCATTCTAAATAACCTGCTACCCTGGTCAGGTACAGGTGTCTTGAATGGTAATTCAGTTGTGTACCTTCCTCTCTTGGTTAAAAAATAATAATTAGATGCAGTCTGGAGCCAGTAGTACGTAATAGGGTAAAATATAGTATGTAATAGAGTAAAAAATTAAAACGGGCCACATGTACCTGTTGACTCCCTACTTGCTCTGCAGAGGCTAAACAAGATGTGTGTGGGGGGTTAGGGTTTTTTGTTTTTTTTTTGCAAATTTCCCTCAAGGGCAGCGATCTTGATCATACCTCTATCCACGCTGCTCATGTTCACACGTGCAAGGGAGCCGGGGGGGCGTGCAAGGCTCGGAACCAGCAGCTTCCGCAAGGCTTCCATTGGCAAGAAAGGACCGGCCTCCTTACTGTCCCCGGAACGGACGTCGGATTCGAAAGTATCACCTGTACTTCCAGGCACCGTCTCCAAAGTCCGCCAGCATAAACAAACGCCACAACATTTCTCAGCTTTTAGACGAACCTGGCGGGTCCCTTTTTAGGGCTTAATACCCAAACAGGGCTTGGCAACGCCGCCAACCCGGCTCTTCTGCTGTGCCTTTCGACAGCCGCCGTATAATGCAAAATAACAACAACAACAACACCTCTGCTCATCAGGCCGATGATGATAAAAGGAGCAGCGCAGGGAATAAGAGTAGCGACTCTATAGCAAATAGCGAGGGGGGACATCTAAGGAAGCCCCTTCGGTTTTCTCTCTTTACAAAGGCTCCCATTTCCTTGTCTAGGGGGGGAAATGCAAAAAAAAAAAATTGCAAAGGAAAAGAAAATCGCAAAAAGAATTGCCAGCTTTTAAAACTTGTTCTTCTGTGCCAATGACCGAGAAGCTTGAGTCTCAGAAATAAATATGCAAAACTCGGGAGTTATGCCCCCACCCCACCCCGTTTAATAAATAAGCCTGGAGTGGCTCAAACTGTCCAAGGCTTAATTTCTCCTGTTAAACGGTAGGAAGGGGAGCATCACGTGGAGGAAATGAGCAAATCTTACGCTCGTTTAGCAGCTTCCTCAAACAAGGAAAAAAGGAAACGTTTCTGAGGCGGGATGGGAATAGACCCATATTCCCTGAGCGCAAAGCGTGACGTACGCACGTGGTCGTCCTATCAGAATCGCCGGAGTTGTGGGGGCTGGGAAGGGCGGAGAGTTAGGCAGTTCCGCGCACGGAGTTAGGAGGATCCTCTAAAGAGTCGTATTAAAATATCCCCTATTTTTTTGAGGATGCAAAGAACAGCCTTTTCCCTTTCTCATTAAGAGTAAAAGCCCCCAAAATTTGGAAAAATAAAGCTGGGTGGCGAGAGTTGCTTGGGAATATATTATGAGACGTATGGAATGAAGTTGGCTGGCGCGTTGTGTGTACAGCATACAGTTTGTGTAAATTTAAGCACACAACAGATTTTTTTTTAAAGGACGAAATTCCAGCGATTGCAGCTTCTCCCTCGTACCTGTGATAGGAAAAGCCACGCTTGGTGACCAGACTCCTTTCATCCAGTTGGTCAGTCGTGTTAGTCTGAAGCCGTACAACAAATTTAGACTCCAATGGCACCTTTAAAACCAACAAAGGTTTCTTGCGCGTGCGCACACACCCTGGTATTGTACCCAGTTGAAGTCCCTTCTCTCCCCAAACCCCGCCCTCCTCAGGCTCCACCACCAAAATTTTCAGGTATTTCCCAACCCGGAGCTGGCAACCCTAGGAGCAGCCCCTGGGGAGATCAAGGGACTGCAGTGGGAGGCAGCAGGAAAACTCTGTTCCACCGATGGAAGTGTCTTCTATTAGCAGAAAATCTGGTCTGGATCCAACCCACTGTGCATTGGATTGCAGTGTAAAACACTAAGAAAATAACCCTGGTGTTGTATACTACTATGGAACACTACTGTATAGTGCTATGGAACACATCTGTACAGTACTGTACACATCACTATACAGTACTATAAGGAGCTGCGGTGGCTCGAGTGGTTAAGACGCTGAACTGCAGGCTGAGGAAAGTCGGTAGTTCAGCAGTTCGAGACCCGGGTGCCGCATGATGGAGTGAGCTCCCGTCTCTAGTTCCAGCTCCTGCCAACCTAGCAGTTCGAAAGCAAGACATTGCAAGTAGATAAATAGGTACCACTTCGGTGGGAAGGTAACAGTGTTCCGTGCACCTTGGCGTTTAGTCATGCCGGCCACATGACCACGGAAACGTCTTCGGACAGCGCTGGCTCTTCGGCTTTGAAACGGAGATGAGCACCGCAACCCTAGAGTCAGACTCGACTGGCTTTCAAGCAAGGGAACCTTTATCTTTATACAGTACTATATACACAGTACTATACACCATACACTTTATATACTACACACTATACACATCTGTACAGTACTATACAGTACTATATAGTACTATGGAAAACATCTAGCTTGACCATGCGGTCCAGCAGACCTTTGGGTGCAAGAACAATAGAGGATTAGGATCCTAGGGTAGACCAATTGGAGAGCCCGGATTCTAGAGTAGACCTATGAAGGACTACTCCACTGTAAATAGCCTATCACGGGTGTGGGGTGTGTGTTGGGTGTGGGGTACTGCAGAGATATAAGCGGGGCTCGGACCTCGCTAGTTTGTCTTTCGTTTTGCTTCCTTAATAAAACATGAGCTGATCACTATTCAATGCCTCTGAACTCAGTACTTTACACCTAACCAAATTTACTGGGAAGTAAGACCTGTTTTATTGAATGGGGCTTACTCCCAGAATGGGTTCTTAGGCTTGCAGCTTTAGCTGTGACCAAAGATGACCCAGGTTTGAATCTTGCCTCTCTCAGGGACTCAGTAAGGTGTCCTTAGGCAAGCCATCCTCTCTCAGCCCTCCCATCCGACTTCCATACTGCCTTAAATCATCTTGGTGGTTGTAAGGATAACCACAAAATAAAGGATATGAAGTGCTTTTGACGCTCTAAAGGGCTGCATAGGTGACAGAGGGATAGTCAGTCTGTTGTAGTCAAAACTACAAAGGGGTGTGTGTGTGTCTGTGTGTGTGTATGTGTGAAGTGCCATCAAGTCACAGCCAATTTATGGCTACCCCCACAGGGTTTTCTAGGCAGGTGATTAAGCAGAGGTAGTTTGCCATTGTCTTCCTCTGCAAAGCTTTCCTTGGCAGTTGAGTTTCCATCCAAATATTGACCCGTTTTAGCTTCCAAGATCTGAAGAGGTCAGGTTATAATATACTATTGCCAGGGGTCATTTCCTGCGGGAGCGCACAGGAGTGGACACATGCAACACAGGGGGTGGACACATGCAACAAGCCCCGCCCCCTGCTCCCAGCAGCCCTCAGCAGCCAAGGAGCAAGAAGCAGCCAGGTAAGTTGCAGAGCCCGCCCCCCCCCATCCCGCCTTCTGGTACCAGTTTTCCCTCCTCTGCAAGAACAGATCTGCACATTCCCCCCCCCCGGAACCTAGCAATCCAAAACAGTCCAGTGGAGCCTGAGCGGTGAGTGTTGCCTTCTGACACACTTCTGGTGATGTCAGGGGGTGTGGCATATGCAAATAAGTTATGCTAATGAGTTATGCTAATGAGCTCCTGCACCTCTTTTTCTACGAAATGACCCCCGACTATTGCACACCCCAACAAAGAGTCTTAAGGTGAGCCAAACTGGACTTCTGTCAGATCTGCATATGCAATGAAACTCTGTAGTTTCACAAACATGCTTATTTATTTTGTTTTATGATGATTGCTATTCAATTTACGAATAGCATTTTTTAATTTTATGTATTTTAATTTACAATATGAAGTTTACTATGAATTTTATTTTACAATGTGATTGCTATTTAGACTGTGCCGTCAATGTGCAGTGTGCTTTCCCAGATAACACTCTGCTAAGAAGCCCGAGCTCAGGGGCAGAACTCATTCTTTGTGTGGCAGCAGTTCCCAAGCTGGCATCTCCAGAAAGAAGATATCCGCACTAGAAAGGGTTGGGACAGGCCTTTTTCCTCTGCCTGGAACCTTGGAGGGCTGTATATGTTCATGTCTTCTTGAATCAAGACCAGTCCCTGCCCTGAGGAATTTGCAGTTAAATAGGTAAAGGTAAAGGTTCCCTTGCTCGAAAGCCAGTCGAATCCGACTCTAAGGTTGCGGTGCTCATCTCCGTTTCAAAGCCGAAGAGCCAGCGCTGTCCGAAGACGTTTCCGTGGTCATGTGGCCGGCATGACTAAACACCAAGGTGCACGGAACACTGTTACCTTCCCACCGAAGTGGTACCTATTTATCTACTCGCAGTTCCTTGCTTTCAAACTGCTAGGTTGGCAGGAGCTGGAACTAGAGATGGGAGCTCACTCCGTCATGCGGCACCCGGGTCTCGAACTGCTGAACTACCGACCTTCCACAGCCTGCAGTTCAGTGTCTTAACCACTTGAGCCACCGCAGCTCCGTGCAGTTAAATCAACCTAACTCCAAAAGAGGGAGAGGCAAACAAGCAGAGATGGGTGGATGAAGAGAGGGAGGGACAATGTTGAGAAGATCACAGAAGGGTCAGGGAGGGAGGAGTGTGTTTCCTGGCGAAGATTCCTCTGGACTGGAGACGGTCACAGCATGGATGCGCTTGTGGGCTAAACTGACCGCCCCAGCCATGCTCTCTGAAAACAAGAGAAGACTCAGGTGCTCCAGTGTTTTCTTGACCGTGTGCATTCTTTTCAACTGTGTAACAGGTATGTCGGGAATAACGACAGAAAAAGGGAGAAAATTGCTTGGGGGGAAAAACTGAATGGTGGAAGAAGAAACCGAGAAGGGAATTTTAATTCATTGCGTGTTCCTTTTGCTTCTCTTGGTATCTGTTTTCATGCTGGTGTATGTTTTACTTGGTGAAGTGTGTGCGTAGATGACTGAAAGGCGGGAGGACGCAAGTTATGTTTATAAAAGTATGACTGGTACAGAAAGAGTGAAGAGGGATAGGGTTATGGTCTTTGTCTCAGTAGCTGAGAATAATTTTGAGGGATAAAACTGTTCAACGGAAAGTCCAGGTTGGATGAATGAAAGTACTTTCCCACACGACGCGTAATTAGCTTGCAGAACGCACTGTCTGTGAAAGGCTAAAGTCACATGACAGCCATTTTCAAAAGCATCAGACAGACTTATGGAGGATGGGTCTATGGATCAGCGACTAGCTGGGATAGCTACATGGCGTCTTCACGTGCAGAGGCAGTAGATCCCAGGTGGCTAGGTACTGGGAGCCACTAAAAGGGTTGTCTGTCTTCTTCGTGCCCTGTTTATGAGCTTCCCATTTGGCTCGTCCTTGTTGGAAACAGGATGCTGGAGTAAGACAGACCTGTTGCAGTAAAAGCAGTTCTTGGGTCAGAGCCCGCAGATCCATTCCACTAATGGTGCCACTTTCCCATAGTGCAAGGGGACTTCCCCCAATGCCAGGGGTTCTGAGCCTTTTGAGCCAGGGTAAGATTTCATCCAAGGCAGCAAGTCACTGTTGTTAGTTGATCAGAGGAGGACAGTCTAAAGGCAACCAGCCTCAGTCCCATCTCTGCCATCTCTCTGCTGCAACACCACTGGCTATTGCCTCTCTTTCTGTCTCTCTGAAAGATTTGAAAAAAAAAAACAACAAGCTCAATTATTGTCAATTATTTTGAAGAGTTGTCACTTCTGCAGGAGCTTCAATTAATTCTCTGGCCTGGGAATCCGTCAGAGGGGCCATTCTCATTCCACGCAACACCCTGCAGCTCCAACAAGAGGAAGGAAAGCGGCGCGTAGCTGCACTAGGACACACAGCCTCATTGTTTAGGACAAACCGTTCCTCTCCGGCTCAAGGCCCACAAGTTAACGGGTCAAGAGCAGTGCTAGAAATGGTTCATCCCCAGCCTTCTCTGAAAGAGCTTTATCTGCCCAGGATCCAGGGATAGTCTCTGTTCCTGACTAATCATTTGTTGCCTCTATTTTTATCTTGTAAGAATTCTGTCAGTGTTTGAGGTGTCATTCTTCAAGACTGAGCGTTCCCCTTCCCCCACATCAAATCCCCAAAAGAGAAATCTCTGAATGGGTAATGGATACATCTTGTCTTCAGTACATATCTATTTTTTTTTGGGGGGGGGGACGATATTAAAGCACTCTGCAAGAGCACAGCCTGACATATATTGCCCTGTCCATATGGTCAAAGCAATGGTATTCCCAGTAGTAATGTATGGCTGTGAGAGTTGGACCTAGGGTTGCCAAGTCTTCTTACCTTGGCAGCGGGGGAGCCTCGCCGGGCTCCGGGAGCTCCTCGGTGGTGCGCGCGCGCGCGCACTGCCAGCACGTCACAGGAAGTGACGTGCTACATCGCTCACGTTGAGGGCGTGGCCCAGATCGTCAGAGGGAAAACCATAGAGTTTTCCAGAGACATCACCCTGCCAACAAAAGTCCGCATGGTCAAAGCAATGGTATTCCCAGTAGTCATGTATGGCTGTGAGAGTTGGACTATAAGGAAGGCCGAGCGCCGAAGAATAGATTCTTTTGAACTATGGTGCTGGAGGAGACTCTTGAGAGTCCCTTGGACTGCAAGAAGAACAAATCAGTCAATCCTCAAAGAAATCAACCCTGACTGTTCCCTGGAAGGCCAGATAATGAAACTGACGCTCAAATACTTTGGCCACCAAATGAGAAGGGAGCACTCACTGGAGAAGACCCTGATGCTGGGAAAGATTGAAGGTCAAAGAAGACGGGGACAGCAAAGGATGAGATGGTTAGACAGTGTTACCAGTGCAACGAACATGAAATTGAGCCAACTCCAGAGGACAGCGGAAGACAGGAGGGCCTGGCGTGATGTGGTCCATGGGGCTGCGAAGAGTCAGACTCAACTGTGCGACTGAACAGCAACACAACGCCTGCATTGTATTTTGATTTGTTAACAGTGTATTGGATAACAATTATGTTTTCCTGTTATTGTAACTTTACTGAAATCCAGCCTCTTGACTTTTAAATCGATGGAGCAGCAATGCTTCAGGTCCCCACAAAGGAGAAAGGCAAGATCTAAACTAGAAAAAAGGAAAAAAGAAATTAAGCCCAAACCAATACAGCCAAAGAGTAGAGGGGAATATTAAGACAAAGACTGTTACTCTGAGAAAAGGGAGTTACAGGCTTATCTGTATTTTTCATCTGTGAAAGGCTAGGATCTGAGAGAGCCACCTCCACTCAACCAGTCCTTTTTTGTCAGCCTAACCTAGGGTTGCCAGCTCTGGGTTGGGAAATACCTGGAGATTTGGGGGGGGGGAGCTCGAGGCGAGCAGGGTTAGCGAAGGGATCTCAACAGGGTACAGTGCCGTAGAGTCCACCCTCCAAAGCAGCCATTTTCTCCAGGGGAACTGATGTTGATTGTTTGGAGATGAATTCTAATAGCAGGAGATCTCCAGGTACCACCTGGATATTGGCAACCCTGTCTATCTCATAGAGGTCTTAGGAAGATAGAACTATGTGTGCTGCTCTGAGCTCCTTGGAAGATTGGGTATGATAAAAACATACTAGGTAGATTGGTTTCTAGACCTCTCCATGATGAGAGGCATTGTTAAACAAAAATCTTTAGTGGAAGATAGGAGCAGCCAAGTGGTTAAGACGCTGAACTGCAGGCTGTGGAAGGTCAGTAGTTCGAGACCCGGGTGCCACAAGACGGAGTGAGCTTCCGTCTCTAGTTCCAGCTCCTGCCAACCTAGCAGTTCGATAGCAAGAAATTGCAAGTAGATCAATAGGTACCACTTCCGTGGGAAGGTAACAGCGTTCTGTGCGCCTTGGTGTTTAGTCATGCCGGCCACATGACCACGGGAACGTCTTCGGACAGCGCTGGCTCTTCGGCTTTGAAACGGAGATGAGCACCGCAACCCTAGAGTCGGATTCGACTGGCTTTCGAGCAAGGGAACCTTTACCTTTACCTTTATCAGGAACTGAGCCCTCTCTTTTCCTCCAAGTTTCAGGGGCAGTGAAGGTATCAGTGGCGGCTGGCAGCATCCAAGTGGTGCAAGGAGGAAGTGTCCTTTTGCCATGCCACTTCCACACCACGGCGCCTCTGAACCGCCTCAACATCATCTGGACAGTTGTCCCAGCTGCAGACCCCAACCACCCACAACAAGTGAGTGAAAGCAGGGGTCTTTTGTTGTTTGCTTGCTTGCTTGGGAGTCATGGTCCTTTCCATCCTGGTCCTAGAACCTAACTGGTGTTATGGCACGTTGGAACTACATTTCCCATGGTACCATGAGGCTTGGTATTCTCCTCACCAAACCCACAGAGCAATGCAAGAGGCCATGCTACAGTTGCTAGTTTATATTAGGAAACATGGGGGTGGAACCTGGGCATGGTTGGATTTGGGAAGGGGCGGGACCTCAGCAAGATATAATGGCATAGAGTCCACTCTCCAAAGCAGCCATTTTCTTCAAGGGAGCTGATCTCTGTGGTCTGGAGAGCACTTGTAACCCTGGGAGATCTCCAGGCCCCACCCGGAGGTTGTCTAGGACTAGGAAGTTCACTGAGTGATCTTGGGCTAGTGATTTTCTGTCAGTCTAACCTACCTCAAAGAGTTGTTGTGAGGCGGGAAGAAACCATTCATATACCAGTCTGAACTCTTCCAAGAAAGCATGAGATAGAATAGAATCTGCCTTGACATGAGTCGTCCTATGGTTTCATTGGTCACAGCACTTATTGATTTTGGCAAACTCTCCAAAGCAGAGTTCTCTTCGCCAGCTGGCCTGTGCCTACAATTCCTCACTGTTAGTTTATTGATGGAATCTTGGCCATTAAGAACAGAAGAAGAGCTTTGCTGGATCAAACCAGTGGTCCATCTAGTCCAGAGGTCGATTTGGGGGGGATCGCGGGGGATCGCAGTTCCCCCGGGTGAGGTACGAGGGGCAGGGCACATGACGAAGCCCTGCCCCCTGCTTCCGGCCACCCCGCTTCCGGCCCTCATTCAGCCAGGAGGAGGCAGGAGAAGAGGGAGGGTAAGTTGCTTCCTCCCTGCC